TAGCTTATCTAAAGTGATCATCAAGTTGGGCCATTTCCAGCACAAATCCAGGTTTCTCACCCTCCACGCCCCCCACACACAAACTCACTCTCCTGCTGGTAATAGCCCATCCAAAGTGACAACTCTCTTCACAATGTGCATGATAATCAAGGTGGGCCATTTCCTGACAAATCCAGGTTCTCTCACCCCCTTACCCACCTCCAAAAACCACACACACAAACTCACTATCCTCCTGGTAATAGCTCATGAGTTTGTGTGTGGTTTTTGGAGGGGGATAAGGGGGTGAGAGAACCTGGATTTGTGCAGGAAATGGCCCACCTTGATTATCATGCACACTGCGATGAGAGTTGTCACTTTGGATGGGCTACTACCAGCAGGAGAGTGAGTTTGTGTGTGGGGGGGTGGAGGGTGAGAAAACCTGGATTTGTGCTGGAAATGGCCCAACTTGATGATCACTTTAGATAAGCTATTACCAGCAGGACAGTGGGGTGGGAGGAGGTATTGTTTCATGATCTCTGTGTGTATATAATGTCTGCTGCAGTTTCCACGGTATGCATCCGATGAAGTGAGCTGTAGCTCACGAAAGCTCATGCTCAAATAAATTGGTTAGTCTCTAAGGTGCCACAAGTACTCCTTTTCTTTTTTCATAAATAAACTTTAACTCTTTTCTTAATTTTCCAGGTTAAGGCTACTAGTTAGAGTTGTTTGCGATCTCATTAATTTATCATGTTAAAATTTCATTATGACCTTGGTTTTCAGTTTACTTCCCAAAGTTTGTGGACACTGCTACTGATGTTCCAGCTGTTGGCAAGTTCCCCTGTGTTATGTGTCTGTGAAATTTTCTGTAGAATCCATCCATTGCAGCAGAATTGTGTTCTAAGATTTCTAAGAACTTAAGCTTTCTTCTTTATTAGTATGTTTCTAGTCCTCATGTTTAGGAAGATAACCTTGAAAATGCGACTGGACTCTGCACACAACATGAAACAGCTCTGAGAGATGTGAATTGTGTCATTCATGCCAATGTAGTGTTAACTCTGGAACCTAAAGGAAACATCTTAATACGTCAACTCAACTATTTTTACTGCTAATCATTTTAGCAGAATCATCCAGCTAATTCACTTAACCCAAAATGCCTCCATTGAAGCCTCAAACCCCAAATTGTCCCCGACCAGCGGCCAAAACCTCCTGTCTTCCCAATGATAAGTACCAGTGCTGCCAATGTTAGGATGTCAATACAAACATCAGTATCGTATCTACATCTGAAAATGCAGAAAATGTAAAATACGTATAATTTAATATCAAAATACATGAGGCTACTGCACTGTTTGTCTTATTCATTTTCATATTTAATATTTCAAGAAATCTCTGGTTTTTATTTAAGCTACTGCAGAACTTTCAGTTCACTGCACAAGAGTGTTGCAGAACTCGGGGGACAGTTCAGCAGAATTTGGATCCAACTTGATGCACCATATACACATTGGTGTAATGAATGAAGTTACCCATACCCATTAGCATCACCTTCTGTTTTGTATACCTTTTATTTAGAAAGATGATATCAATGCACTGTCACTGGGTCCTTCAACTACTCTCTTTCTTATAACATTCTCTATATGTGGCAAGACCTGGACTCATCCCGATCTTTGTTTGCTGCCAGAGAGCTGCAGAGACAAGCATCCTACCCTGAAAATGCAGCGTTCCCAGTGGAAATTGCCCTGGTTCTTGATAGTCTCCCTGCAGCCCCTAGGGTGTCAAATAACAGCAATGAAATTGACCCGTCTTGTTAAGTTCATTGTGCTGCAGTATGTGAAAGACAGGAGCACAAGAAGAGCACTGTCAGTCTGCAGGCTTAGGAAGACAGCATTGCATTGTTTTATATTCAGTTCTCTCTAAGACAGTTATCTTCGCAACCATTTGAATTAAAACTTAGATTCTGTGAACGCTGATGGCTCTCACTCAGGGAAGCTTTCTACTCATCATAGGAGAGGGGATTTTTTCAAGTTCTGCATATATCTGTCTAGATTCTTATGCCATGCCCATCACTGTGTCATCTGAGTGTCTCACAAACTTATTAAAGTGAATACAAGAAGAATGTGTCTTTCTCTTTGCACCCCATTGTTTTAGGGTATGTGCGCGTGCACATGTATTTGTTGAGTTACATAAGAGAGGCTTGGTGTGAGGCTCATGGTCTCCCTGATCTCTTTTGGAGATAACTCCATAGAGGTGAACCAGCGCCAGAGAAAGCTGTCTCCTACACATGCAAGTTTCAGTGCTGAAGTTGACAGTTCCATTGCCCCAATGGACTGGAGCTCTATGATCATGTACAGTAGCCACACCCTCAGACAATTGGGGCCAGCCCTATAATGGACTTAGAAAAAGAGGAAAGGAAGCTTGTATTTGACCTGATGCTCACTAAGGGCTTGTCTACATTGGCACTTTACAGCGCTGCAACTTTCTCGCTCAGGGGTGTGAAACAACACCCACCAACTCCCAGCGCTGGTGCCGGGACTGCCCAGCCACATTAAAGCACTGCCGACATGGCTCGTGAAGACGTGTCCTAAGAAGCTAGGCAAGGATGGCCTTGGGGGGTGGGGGCTAGAACACCAAAGACCCAGGTTCTAGTCCCTGCTCTGTCACGAAAGTCCTGTAGGATCTTGGGCAAGCCACTTAGTGTCTGTGTTCCTCAATTCCCCATCTACAAACTAGGGATAATAGTACTTCCCTACCTCACAGAGCTGTTGGGAGGACAACTACCTTAATGACAGAGAGGTGTTTAGATATTACAATGATGAGGGTCATTTCAATGCACAGAAAAGAGTAAAGAACTGAAGTCGTGCTGCTGAGAAAGAATCTGTTGTGTTCTGAACCAACTGAAACTTTCTAAGTTAGCAGTTTAAGTCCTAGGTACAGTATATTACAGGAATGAGGCCTGAAGATCATGAATGTATGGATCACCAGGGTCAACTCCAATCCAGGAGGTTTCTTGTGTAAACCTTCCAATTTTGTTCATTAGAAGACTAGGGTTCCTAGGTGCTATGGCAATACAAATAATAATAATGTAATTATAATACATATGATAAGGTTTAGCACAGTTGAATTGGGGGTAAACAGATTAGTCATGCTTTTATTACTCATTACACTTAGATGCGACTGGAAACTGTGTGTCAAGAATTGAGCAATACATGCTGGCAAGCTTCCTGCTACACAGCAGATCTGGTTTAGAACTAATTCTCCAAGCATGGACCACTATTTGTGCCAGTCTATCATGACACACAAAAAAGTCTCTGCTTCCAGGAAAACAATCTCTGGAGCAGAAGCAAAAGCAGCAAAATTATGATGTCAATTACAAATCAGCAAAATAAGATGCTAGGAGTCCAAAACTGGGAGTTTTCCTTGTTACGTATGAGATCACCAAGTATATACATACATTATAAATCTTTATGTCTGAAGTTTTCCTATATATGCTAAAGAGCACTAAATCATCCACCAATGGCACCAATTAGTTGCTGCGTGCATAAAATGTACTTTCTCAAATAACTGTGTTAAAGCAGGTATATCACCTCCAAGATGAGCTGCTATCTGCCAACTGTTAGCCTATATAAGTTTATTATCTGGTTTCAATTATCAAGAAAAATCTAAATTTTCCTTTATTCTTTTTATGAAAAATCACTCACATCTGATACAATACATTTCTAATGTTTCCCTCCCCTAGAAGTCACATTCCCTCTTTTCCACAGTTCACTTCTCTAGTGACCATGTTTCACCTAAATATGGAAAGGCAGATAACTAAGCACACATAGACAGACAGACACACAGTATTTTATTGTTTGCATGAGATTAATGGAGAGAATATAAAAAATAAGCAGAAATTAATTGGCAAGAGTTTATCATAGGCATCACAGATGAAGTGGGTTTGCAGGAGAAGGTAAAGGAAAGAAGAGTGATTTTGCATACTACCTCAGAAAGGGCTTTGTGGAAGAAAAAGCAGCTGTTTACTGGAGATGTAGCCAGCCCACCACTGGAAGAGTGAGACGGCAGGGTGCAGTACAATGAAAGTAGCCTAATACTTGGACAAGTCAAAAAAGTCAGGCTGGAATGGAATTGTGTAGGGACTTGAAGGCGATGCCAAGAAGCTTGAACTTGATGCAGTGGATGGATTCAAAGAGAAGGTAGTTTTTAAGTGAGGGAAATCTTGGGGTACAAAAGACAAATCAACCTCCTAAAAGGGGTACAGTAGTCTGGAAAGATTGAGCGCTACTGCTGTATGTAGCACAAAATAGAACAGTTTTGCTTCAACCATGATAGCAGACAACTGTAATGTAATCACATTCTCCAACACAGCCCCACTCGTGCAGCTCAGTCCTCAGCAGACAATTTTGTGGTCTTCAGGAATAAGTAAGTATTAGCTTGTTTGCCACCAGGCAATATCCTTCCTTTGAATCAAGTAAAGGGAAACCATCAACTTGAAATCTAGTCAGTCTAAAAAAATGTGCCTAAAAAAATAGTCTCAGCTGCCACATCTTCCTTGAGCCTCTCTGACAATTATTGTGGTTTTACGATTCTATTTTTCTTCTGGGTCTCCCCTCTGCCACTGTGTGAAAGGCAGGTATGCAACAGCGGAAACTGACAATAGTGAAACAATTAATACAGAACATGCTGTCAAATGAAGAAAAGAAAGAAAGAAACTTATTGTCATCTTAGGTTCACTTGCAACCAAAGCAGGTAAAATACTTTTAGACAGAAGGGTGATTTTTAAGTTGACGGTGTCTCAACGAATTTGGGTCTGTTCTTCAACTGATTTTCACTACTTTAATCATGGTGAGTAGTACCTTATTCCAAGAGTAGTCTCACTCACTAACAATAGTGTTCTGCAGATGTCTGACAAAATACACCAACATAAAAATAGTTCTTCAATTTAAAATGAAACATCAGTCCTGAGCACACCTGACCATTCTAATAAAGCCATGTGGTACTAACATTTATTAGGAGGGAAGTTTACTTACATAGCAGATCAGTGGACATGTTTACAGATCAGGCAAAGGAAACCTAAATAAAGGAAATGGAAAAATTTAGTTTTCTATAGTGGAAGTGTTCATGTTTAACCCTGAAAAAGACAATCATATGTAGAGCTGACTATAGAATCATAATATTATAAGCTACAGACACACGGATACATCCTCATGTGTTAATTTTGTTGCAGTTGAAAGAGTCTGACAATGCAAGGATCAGCATGGGCAATTTGAAGTGACCCTTAAATAGTTGTTCAGTTCCTTTATAAGTCAGAGGGATCTTATCTGAAGAGGTTTAATAAGGAAAGAATATCATAGCTTGGAGAGCAAAAAAAAAAAAAGAGTAAAAATCTTTATTCAGTAGAACTGATTCCCTCTTTAATTCACAAACACTCCCAAATGGTCAAAATGTTTATTTTTAATGAACCCAATGCTACTCAAAATAAGCCATCCTTTGTTAATATTTAGCATTAAAAGAGCACATCCTTATGCCTCAACTTTTATGTCCTTAACTGCCATTTTTGCCTCTGAATCTGTTATTTCTGGGCCTGATCTTGGAGTCCTTACACTGGCTAAGCCAAAAGGAGTTTTGACTGAGTCAAGGACAGCAGAATCAGATTCTGTGTTAGCAATTTTGTAAGTCTTCTGGGGACTTCTGTTTTTCTGCTAAACTCTTGTCATGTTATTTCATACTCCCACCCACCCTAATTATCTGATTCATCCACCTATCGTACCCTAACACCTAGATTGCAAGCACTCTGGGGCACGTTTCCTTTGTTACTTGTCTGTATAGTGCCTAGCACAATAGGTCCCTGATGCTTGGATGGGATGCCTAGAGCTACGTAATACAAATAATAATAAGACAACATTACACAGCAATGAAACAGCCCCACAGCCAGAGCCCCGCGAGCCCGAGTAGACTGGTATGGGCCAGCCACAGGTGTCTAGTTGCTGTGTAGACCTACCCTTAAAGGTTTCAGGCGGTGGATGAGGGTACAGAGACACGACTGTAAAAAAATCGAGGGTAAAATCCTGCCCCCACTGAAATCAGTAGGATTATGCCATTGAATTAAATTGATCCAGGATTTCATCCTCACTTTTAAAAATAAATGAGCTGTTAATAAGATGCTTCTAACTGAGACATTTTGAGGTTGGGCGTGGGGACTGATGACATTGGTTTGAGACAGAGGAAGTGACAGAGGAAGAGGATGTTTGGAAGGCTGGATGGAAAAAGAGCATGAGCAGGGGGGCAGGAAATAGGCCCAAGGGGAGAGAAAGAAGTGGTAAGTTCAAGAGAATGCAGCTGCAAGGCATGGTGAGGCAGGAAAAACAGTAACATGTCAGTGGTATTAAAATTAGCACAGAAAGGTTGTAGTTGGCAGTCATTACGCTGTTGCTGGAAGCCAATGGCTCTGCCTCTTACTCCTGGCTTCCAGGGAACTGAGGGTGATGCCAGACAAGGCAGTGTCCTCCTGACATCTTGGGAAAGAGCATTTCTCCCAGGTTGGCTGACAACAGTAGAGATTTCTGGCTGAAGCAAGCATCCCCTGCTGACAGCCCTGAAATTTTGTGAGGACATGTCATTGTCTGGGTATAGAACCCCTCCACATGGCGATTGGAGGTGGTGAGTAAGAAGAGAGGAAATGTGTCTCCTTTCCCCCATACACACACATCTTTTCTGCCAAAAGGTAGCATTTAGTAATTCTACTCACCCTATCATTTCCCATGTAGGGCAACTACATGAGGGATAACTGCAGACTTAGGGTAGGCAGCAAAGGAAGAGAAGAGGAACAGGATCCACTGGCAGGTGCTCAACTCGGCACAAGAACTTCATTTACAAGAGGTCTCCACCCCACCAAGCAAGACTGCATCCCCCACAGAATAGGTTACCTCTGCATCCCCTTCTGCCTACAAAACCTGCTGAACAGCCAGTGGGAGCTTACACACTTCTAACAGACTGTGTAAGCAGGCCCTAGACTAGTTTGTATTGCTTCATATAATGGTCAGAATAATCAAAAGTGTATACTAATACACATGCTGTGTAGGTAGACCCCCAACTCTCTCCTCAGCAACAAAACATATTTGGTTTTGTTCTCGTAAGGATTATGATGTCCCAACTTCCCTTATCTTCCTTCCGTATTGCAGGTATTTGTTGATTGTACTAAGCCATACGATTCTCCATGCTGTTTTTTCCCTATTTTAAAAATCACTGACACTTTTGTGTTTGCTTGTCTGAATTTCTTCTTATACAGTTCCTGCTCTGTTTAATTCATAAAAGGGGAGGAATATCATAGTAAAGTAGAAATGGTTTAAGTATTAACAGAGTTCTAATGGGAAGAGACTAATATAGAAGACCCAATTTTAACTTTGGAGACACATGCACAGCTCCACTGAAGTTAATGGAAGCTTCACATGTGTATCCAAGGTTAGGATTTGGCCCATGTTAAGAATAACACATCAGCATTTTCTATGAGTGAATCTTGCTGAATATTTATGTGTATTTGGGGTCTATCGTATATAGCATAGAACAGCAAACATTAAACATGGAATCTTAAGTTACTGGAAGAGTCAATTATATTTGCTACAGGATTTTTCTTCAGTATATGGGACTACAAAATATTTTAAAAAACAGATTGCAATTTCCTTTGGTTATGCAAATAACTTGATACTTAGCAGACAGAAAACCTTGTATTCCAATTTTAGAAGTTGGGCTTGTTGACATAGCAGAAGTTGCCTCATGTGGAAATCTTATTTATAAGCGACAAAGCTAAAAAATTTCAAATGTCATGGGAGGAATGTATCTCTTCCATACAGGATCACGCAGATATACAACAAAGGAAAACATGAAATCACTAGGTAGATGATGTGGGTGGAAAGTAGTGAAGCAGTTCAGGATTCAGCTTCTCTAATGTGTTGTGCATAGTTTTTTTATAGTTTTGTGGTATTGTTTTAAAACAAATAACATGGCTGTTGTGGAATACTTTTCTTTATAACTAGTTTTTAAAGGCACCTCTAAAGGTTATAATGGCTTGATTTTCAAATAGTGTTGAGCACCTCATTATTCACTGATCTCAAAGATCAGACTATGAGACTTTCATTGACTTCAGTGAGCTTAGATCAATGGGCTATGTTTTGCCCAATCTTACAGAGGGAGGCAGAGTTGGAAATGAAACCCAGCCATCTCCTGCACTAACCAATACACATATCCACAAGTTTGCAATAATCTCAAAATACTGACAAATATATTCTGCTTCTGAGAAAGCTCTGTCAAAGTCTTATTTTACCTAAAAAAGGCCCGTGTCAATTCAGATTAAAATAAAGTACCAATGGCGTCCTAAGTCTAATTCCTTATTTAATATGAAACTCAATGGCCAAGGTCCTGCCCATTACTGCACTCTTGTCACATACACAAGCTTCCCCGTTCTGAGACGCAGCCCTGGGACTCTCGCCATGGTTTTCCCACTATTATGCCCTTTGGATTGCTTAATGGTATTCTGCCCTGACCAGCAAGGTCTCCATGACAGTAGATGTACCAACCAGGGTACTTGCTCATCCTTACCTCATTAAGGAAGGCAGAAGCTCTGTAGAATAAATTTTAAAAAGTTACATTAAAATCCAATTAAGTTGCAAGTACATCAGAGAGAACCTCAATATAAAGTTTTAACCTAGCAGCCAGGAAGCCAAAGGAAAAAAAGGAAGTGTACAAATCTGACTGACAAAATAGAAAACTATCAGATTATTTCCCTCCAAGTTTTAAGCTTCTATGCTAAAAACATCAGTTGCCTAAATTCATAAGATATTAACGGAAGCATGGACTTGTGGTTAAGGGCCAGGACTAGAAGTCAGGATATCTGGGTCCAATTCCCACTTTTGCCACAGACCTTCGGCAAGCGACTTAACCTCTCTGTGTCTCAGTTCCCCATTTGTAAACTGGTAATGACAACACTTCATTTCTCCCCCGCTTTGTCTGTCTTGTTTATTTAATCTGTAAATTCATTGGGGGCAGCGGCTGTGTCTATTTATGTATGTGTGTACAGCACCTGCCACAGTGGGGCCCTGATCTTGGATGAAGCCTCTAGCTGCTACTGTAATATGTAATAGTAATAATAATTTTTTTAAGTTGATAATATACTGGGTAACGAATAATAGGATTCAGCAGGAGGAGAGTCTCTGCAATAATCATAAGACCATTTTAAATTTTGTATTTGGAGAGTAAAAACATAACTTAATGAAATTGCTGATAAGTATAGCATACAAAGGCACTTAGGGTGTGGTTATATGCAGCTGGGAGCATGCCTCCCAGGCCAGGTAGACAGACACATTACTCAGGCAAAACTGCAGGAACAGTCCCAGGGTTTGATCCTGCAAGGTACTGAGCCCTCTGATCCTGATCCAGCAAAGCATTTATGCACATTATTATTTTAACCAATATCCTGTGACCATTTACTTCAGTGGGACTAGTTTGTGTTTAAAGTTAAGCATGTGCTGGATCAGGGTCAGGATGCTCATCACCTTGCAGGATAAAGTTCCACAGAGGAGGTATTATATGCAGATAGTTGTTATAGGAATCAATTAAACTAAAACTAAAAACAGTACCTAAAAGTGTGAGTTTTTAAATGACAAGTGACCTAGAACACCTGAAGAAGAGGTCTGTGTAGCTCAAAAGCTCGTCTCTCTCACCAACAGAAGTTGGTCCAATAAAAGACATCCCCTCCCCCCTTGTCTCTCTAAAAGACCCAGACACATTCCTAAAATAATATGTTCTAAAGCAGAGGGTAAGGAAATCTCCATTTCAGTATGCCTGCATAAACAATATTGGATCACCAGTTCAAATACTGGATTTACCTAAAACAAAGCAAATGAGAAACCCATTCATATGAAATCATGTGAAAAAGGATTTTCTCAGGTTACGTCCTTCCTCAGCACATCAACTAAACTATTTTCAATGTTTTGAATTTGAAGCTGAATATGCACTTTAGGATAGCAGAAGGGACACTCATCACAACTTTACTCAACCTATTTGACAACATAGGGGAA